GGGGGGGGGTTGGCAGTGACCCCTGATTTGTATGTTAAATCCAAAATGTAAAACATGAAGGATGGGGACATAAAACGTTGAGTCCTCCTATATGAGGAGGAGGAGTGACAATGCTATGCTATATGAGGACTCCTCCTTTGTACATGTCCTAGTTATACTATGTAAGATCAGAAAAATAAGGAGAGTACTACTCCCCTGTACAATACATTTTAGAAAAAGATCAATTACAACATACGGCCTATTAAAATAACTATACATTGTGAGATATCGGTGAAGTTCCTTTAGCAGGCCTGATTCTGAAAGTAGGAAGTTGTGCTCTATCCATTGTGAAAGCTCCCCTTGCTTCTCCGTGCACTTTAAAAAACATGAATGCCATCATATGATTACGCACTGTAATAACACAGCAGTAGAAGCATAAAGCTCGCCCCGAAAAGCTGAAGGCCAGCGAAAATAATGCAGAAAAACCTTACAGATGAATGAAAGAGATAGTGTGATTCCAAAGAAGATGATAAGTTAAAGCGTGAATTCCAGCAAGAAGGATAAGAACAGTGATTCCCAATGACCAAGCGTAGAAGACATTTGATAGTTGTACTCCACACGTGCACACAGATAGAAATATCATGTCTTCCCAAATGGACCTCTCAGGTAAAACTTATCAGTAACTGTTAGTGTAATCAAATTAAAAGGCCAAGCAACCAAATGATAGCTTGGAAGATAAAATGACAGTCTCTAGTTCTATAGCACATGAATTCTTTAAGGGAACTACCTACTTATTTTATAAGAAATTATTTCAGTTGAATCCTTTCTACTTTTATGAGGTAAAGAAAGTAGAGCAATATTAGAATAACGATAATATATCTAGTTATATAGAATCATTGTTGGATTATGTCATCTTTTTTGCTATTTGAACATGATTTGTTCATTGGGTTTTATGACAATTCTATTAATCTTTGTAATTTGTGTGATGGATTCTGTCAAGGCGGATCCATGATCTGAATTTTATAGTTTCGGGATGCCACTGAAACTCCACTGACCATTAGATTTCCTGGGTTCAAAATTTAGTATTTGTACATATTTTGTAGATTTCATACACATATACTGGGGTCTGTACCAAAGCTGCTAGGTTCGGCTGAACCCATAGCTTATACGGTACATCAGCCCATTCTGTGGATTAGTTAATTCATTTTCCGGTGGTTGTCTTGGTTTTGGATTGACTAATTTGTACTTAACTATGCTTCTTTTTTTAATAGGAAGTATTTTATATTCTTAGAGTAGCGATGGTTATGATCTTTTAGCTAGTTGTTGCTTTGATATTTACAAGTCTAACTGCAAAAGTAACAGCTAATGCATTGTGACTTATTCTTTGTTCATTTTTCTTCTCCCCAAATGCTCCAATTTAGAATTACAATTTTGATGTGGTAAGTTAAAGTCAGGCGTTCATGTGTTGAATAGGTGTATGAATATGCAAGTAAGAAATGTAGAAGTGCTTGAGTCAGATTTCTTTCCCTTTGTGTCTTCCCAAAAAGTTTCACTATGGCAACCAACAGGGGTATTTTTATTGATTTCAGGGTGTGCATAGAATGTCTTTCAGAAAAATTTCCACAGTGGCAGCTTCTGTAGCTGAAAACAAGGAGGGATTGAAGTTCCTTGTAACTGCTGGACCCCATGCCCGGAAAATGGTTGGCATATGGCTTTTTGCATCTGCTGCTTGGGTCTTCAGTATGGTTGTGCTTGGTGGTGTCACACGGCTGACACGTTCAGGTCTTTCAATGACGGATTGGAAGTTCACCGGGAGCCTTCCTCCTCTAACAGATGAAGATTGGTTGATTGAATTTGAGAAGTACAAGCAATCCCCCGAATACAAACGGTCAGTCCAAAGAGTAGTATGTGCTCAGTGCACTTCAATTACTCTAATCTTAGACACATTATAATCTTGGACACATAGATGCTAATAGGAAAGTAGTTTTTTCCGGCTTTATGAACTTAATTTCGTTGTAGCCGTGGAAAGAAAATATGGACCGGAGGATCATTCCATAATGATTCTTTATTATGAAGATTATTATTGAATCTTATTTCTGGAGTTATTTTTGTATTGGCTTGCCTAGTGATTTGACATAAATTTTAACCCTTACAGTGTGAACAAGGGGATGAACATTGAGGATTTCAAGTTCATATATTGGATGGAATATGCACATCGAATGTGGGGAAGAGCCCTTGGTATAATGTTTGCACTACCATTCTCATATTTTCTTCGTAAGGGATACATAACAGTAAGACTTGGACTTAGACTTTCTGGACTCTTTGCTCTTGGTGCTGGACAGGGGCTCATAGGTTGGTGGATGGTGAAAAGTGGTTTAGAGGTACTAAGCAAATTGATTTCATTTATGCCGTTGTTAAACTCACATAAGACACAGCGTTCTTTAAGTTTTGATTAAATTATTTTTTTCAACAGGAGCCACCATCTGAGTATGTTGAACCAAGAGTAAGCCCTTACCGTCTTGCAGCTCATCTTACCTCTGCATTTGCTATTTATTGTGGACTCTTCTGGACGGCTCTTTCTGTTGTTATGCCTGAACCTCCTGCCGAATCGCTTGCCTATGTTCGTGGGGCTGCAAAAGTTAAGCGGCTTGCACTTCCTGTGGGCATCCTTGTCGGAATTACTGCTATCTCAGGAGCTTTCGTTGCTGGAAATGACGCTGTATGTAGCTAAAGTTCTCCATACCTTAGTTTTATGCTTGCACAGGTTAAGTATTTGATGGTTTGTTGCTGAATTCCGAGAGACTAAGAAAATGATAGTAGTTTATGGTGTTCATATTATTCTCTTAATAAGTTTGGTAAAAGGGAATTCATCATCAAAATATTGGCTGAACGAGTTAACTTCCAGGGCCGAGCATTTAATACTTTTCCAAAGATGGGAGATACATGGATTCCTGATGATATCTTTAGTATGAAACCTATTATGCGCAACTTCTTTGAGAATACGGCAACAGTTCAGGTAAACTTGTGTTTCTGAACTTTCCAGTTTATCTACTTTTAAAAGATCAGATATTTTAATCTTGACATGAAATCTATCTCCATAGTTAGCACCATAAAGAAGAGCTGGTAGAAAAGAGTGTAGTCATGGAGGTCATTTTTTATGTTGCTGTTCATAAAAATTTATTTTAAATTAAAAATTTTGTTGCTGTTGACAGTTGGATATTTTGAGGTCCTTTGTTCAAGCCTGAATTGTTGATTCTTCTTGCTAATGTTGTTTTATCGAGTAATGAGATCTTATAAACAATGGACCAAAGAGAAAACACCCTTATACAAGAAGTATACCAAAAATAAAAAACCTTACTAAAATACAGAACCAAAAATAATTGGTGAATTTGATTTGTTTTACTACTTAATAGGTATGTCATC